CTGGAGTCAAAGGACAAAGCTGCTTGCTATCACATTGCGCGTATTTTTGAGGCTGAAGGGGATTACAGCAGAGCTGTTGATTTCTATACGAAGGCACACGCCTATAACAGTGCCATCAGACTAGTGAAGGTGTGTTTGAGACATCCCTTTTCGTTCTCGCTGTTTCAGAATGAAATCATTTAGGAGCATGACATGCGTGACCTGCTTGCGAACTTATGTCTAATGGCTGGTGGCAGTGAGATTGTTGAGGCTGCTCGATACTTCGAAGACATTCCTGGATACACCCATCAGGCTGTCATGCTCTATCATAAGGTTTTTGCTTGCGTGAGCTAATCGTTTGAAAGAAGATGACACGAATGTACAGATTGAACAAATTTTGAAAAACAATACAAAAAACAAAATCTAAACGATAATTTTATTGTACATAAAGACACTATTTTTAGCTGTTGAACATTGCCTTTAAATGCTGTGGAATGCAATTTAGGCCGGGATGATAGGCAGAGCTCTTGACTTAGCCTTTCGAGCTGAACAGTTTAGCGCCTTGGATCTTGTCACTAAAGATCTTCATGCGGGCTGTGATCCAAACGTTCTGAAGGTAAACTAGTGTTGTTTTATAATTGTGTAAGGAAATCTCCTTCTCGACGTGAAATGTCGTTGCGTTCCAATCTCGAACGTCATCCTTCTAGCGTGCAGCCGAATTCTTCTCCAACAATCAAAACTATGAAAAGGCCGTCGAATTGCTATGTTTGGCCAAAGACGTATGTTTATTTGTAGGAATGTACTTATTTAAAAATTCTATTGCAACGTGCTGCCAGTTATGAAAATTTCACAATTTTTAAGTTTCGCCAAGCAGTCGAGCTATGCCACGCTCGCAATGTGAGGTTGACAGACAAAGTGGCTGAGCTCATGACACCCACCAAAGGTATGACTTCTTTGCACGACAGTTGCAATCACTTTATAGTCTTTAATCATTATACAGGAATTAACACTAATAGCTTAG